TTTTGTTCGACTGTCTATAGCAGGATACAATAAAAAATCTGAAGGAATGCAAATCATTATCACAAAAAATACAGAAATAAAGAAACTGGCAAATACGATCCATTGCAAACGTTTCCATTTCTCCACTTCTTCTGCAAATGCGCTTGTATTGTTTTCCCAATAAAATCGTCATCTTTTAACAAAACTAAACTGTACACTAATATAAAGGAAGAAGAAGAAGAAAGCCAAAAATTCCAGAATGTAATTGTAATTAAGTAACTTTCTCCAACCACCACAGAAAATCTAAGAAAATTCTGAATGTCGAGCTCCATAGAAACAACTGCAGACAAAATTGGTAACGTGAATATAGTTTTTTGTTGTAGAAGAGATTGGTTCCTCTGCATAATTTTAATGGCTGCATTCGGACAGAGAGTAACGGATGCAAATAGCACAGAGGATGACGAGGTAATCTTTCGTTCGTCATTAATGCTTGTTGTAACGAATGCATTATCAATTTGAATAAACCGAAACACTCGCTTAGCCAAGGAAAACTTTGAGAAAGGAGAATAGAGGAAAACCTATATAAATATCATTCAATTTATGTAGACAGCATCCTTGAATTAAGATGGTTTATATGCAAAGTTTAATTAATTAGAAAACACAGCTTTTTTGATTTTCCTGCCTCGATAAAGCAAAATTAATGAAATTTATTATACTTACGTAATGCCACATGTATAAAGAGCGAGCGATAGTTTAATCTGAATTTTTCTTTGTTAATTAAATACCGTGTATGAAATTATAAGTTTATACACCAGATTTATACATGTATATAATAATTTATTAAAAAATTTAATGGAATATTTTTAATTAATTTTCTATTATATAAAACTTGCTATTTATACGTAATTTATGCTGCAAATAAAGTGAATTGTATAAACTCTTCTAATCAATTTGACACTTTCGTTCAACTTCGCCGCAAGTGTTGATCCAACTTTGAAACTTTTGCTCATATTTCACGCTATATTTTCTATTCTGACGACTGAATTTTTTAATGTCTTCATTACTTACAACGCGACAATTTTGCTTTCAAAGGAATACTACATTTATTTCCAAATTTTGTCATGTCTACAAGTGTCAGAGTCAAAGCTGGATATATCCTATTGACATTTTAAACATTCCAATCCGTTAGTTCGCGTCGATCTGTAACCTCACGAGGCTGCAATTTGAAAAAAATGTAGACCTACAAATTTCCATTGTCGTCCATCCGCTGTCTTACTCTCGAGAACGGAGTTAGATGAAATCTGAGACTAGATATGGAAACCTTAGAGACAAGAGGCGCCAATTAACTATATATGAACTTCCGATGCAAACCGGAAGTCACATTTTTTCAATTCAAATCCCCTGAAAGCAGTTAATAGATGACTGGCACGACTGTATTGTTAAAGGAAAAGTATGATGTACAGGGGCAAGCCACTACTAATTTCAGGTAGAAGATCATATATTTTAAATGAAATAATCTAAAATTATTATTAAAAATTGCAGCTCAGCATGTCACAATAAATAATTCTCGTAGTTATAGTTTGTGAAAACTGGTTTCAGCTTGTGAAAATATTTACAATGAAAAACTACATTTTGACCTTTGTCATGTTATGAACCACAATATTGAAGTTAAAATCCTTCTAAGAGGTAATGAGGAGTTAATAATTGTGGGAAATGGAACCTTTTGCACATCATATGCCCAATAGCAGAATTTGGGGTCCTGCACCTCATAGAACAAATCATAAATGCCATTTTTAGACTGCAGGATGAGATCTGTATAACACAATTTCCTTGGTTAGGAAAGTCCTTCCTGAGCACATCTCTATCATCAGCCAAACAGAACAGATGGCCTGTTTGGTTGATGATGGGGACCAATGCAGCCAAGTCTCTATTTGCGTGGCCTTGTCATCAATCTGTGAGGTCATGAAGTTGATCTCAAGCACAGCATCTATACAGTGGAAGCACTGAAAATCTACAGAGCTCTCCAGTTGGGATGACTTAGTTGGCCAATAATTATCATTATGGACAGTCATTTTGTTCTTCAAGTGCTGGTTCAGATGTCTCAATCTTCACCAACTCTAATAATCAACCCAGAAGCATGAATTGTCTTCTATCATCCTCTTTTACACACTATTTGGTATCTCTTAGATATCCCTTCAAGACAGCACAGCCCAATTGGGACAATATTCTGCTTTTCTGACAGGATAGCTTCCCATGTAATCGATCTCCTGAGAGCCATCCACCAACAGAGAAGGTACCTCCTGACCAAGACATGGTTAACTATGCTTTAAAACAAGGGCTGAGACCACCTAGAACCCTTCTAACATTGAACTTATGAACACTGCATATCATGTCAGTTGGAGATGCTGCTGTACTGTCTATGTATGAAGACAGTTCCACTTAATTCATTTTTATTTACAGAATCTCGTCCTTTCCAACCTGCCAATACTGTGGGAAGAAGAGACATCTCACTACTGGATAGTCTATTCTCACCACCAACAGATTCGTCAGGCCCTACGCTTTACTCTTCAACTAAACTTGATCCCAACAACCATGTCTTTTCTATACTTGCCAACTGTGAATGTCTCCTGGCCATCATATCAAGGTACCAGAATATTCATCTGCTCAGTGGGTTGATTCATGTAACCAATACTGGTTGTTGAATTGGAGATCAGTATGCTAAAACTTCCATATGAACAGTTAAGAGAGAGAGAAAAATTGAATTTTAATAAATTAAAACTGGCTCAGATTATTTTAAACATTTATATATCAAATACCTTGTTACCAGCATAAGTTTTTCTATAACAAATAGTTTCAGTCTAATTTAGCCCATCTTCAGGTTCACTTTCATTTTAATTTATTAGACCAAGATGATTAGAAAGTTCAAAGTATTCTTTGAAAATTTGATCATCAACATTCAATAATTTTAAAGAAGTCTTACTTTTTGTGAACTTGTCACAAAGTTTTTAACATTGAATGTGTAGATAGGACTTTAGTTCCAGCTTAACTATCAGATATAAATTAGATCAAATTGAATTAATAGTTGATTAATAATCAATAATTATAAATATAAAACTACTCTGTATGTATATAATGTATAACAGAAAAAAATAATTTCTTTACCTTACACTTCACTCTTTTTATACAATTTTAATTTCACATAAATATGACTACTTTTCATATAAATTTATTCCACTGATAAAATAATTCAACCTCAAATAACAATCTATAGGAAAAAAGAAAAAATAATTTAAATTATGTAGTAACCATACACATATTCAGTAGTAAATACAACTCTAAAAGTTATTAATAGAAAATAACATATTTTAATTGCAATTAAAAATTAATTTTTCACTTTCACCACAATTGAACTAATTTATTCAAATTTTAAGTACTATCTTTATACATATTTTTATTTCAGATAATTTTATATTCAAAATTATTAACAATTTGCTTTGAAATATCAAAAGCAAAATTTAAACTCTAGTCCACATCAGTTCAACAAAAAATATTCTCTCTATTAAAGAATTAAAAACACAACTACACAAACTTTCTTATAAAAGTTACTATTTTTGTATTATATATTTCATCTTCATCAACATTTATTTTCTATAGAAAAAATGTCTAGTCTAGCTTTTTCCTTTAAAAGGAGTTATATAATTTACTTTAGTATATTTTCTAATAAATATTTTATAATTTTATTGTTATTATTGTAATCATAAAGGATTCTTTGTATGAATTTTCTCATGTGACTTTAAGTCACAACTTCTACGAAAAGATTTATTACATATATTACAAGTATAGGGTTTTTCTCCTGTATGAATACGAAAATGTTTTTTTAGATCACTGCTTGTAATATGACCTTTACCACATACTTTACAAATATATGGTGCTTCACCGGTATGAGTTCTTATATGTATCTGTAGTTTTCCACTAGTTCTAAATCCTTTATTACATACATTACACTTATATGGCCTTTCACCAGTATGAATCCTTTGATGAATTTTCAAAGAACTGAGGTTAACAAATGATTTTTCACAAAAGTCACAAGTATGCAATCTTTCTCCGGTATGGATTCGTTTGTGTGAATTCATTAAACTGTTGTTGATAAATCCTTTATTACATATATCACATGTAAATGGTTTCTCTCCTGTGTGTGTCATTTGATGCATTTTTAAATCATAATTTGTTGCAAACTTTTTGTCACAAGAATCACAAGGGAAAGGTTTTTCTCCAGTATGTGTCCTTAAATGTATTGTTAACTTTGTGTTATTCATAAAACCTTTATTACAATATTTACATAAGTGGGATTTTTTTCCAGTATGTATTTTTTGATGAGCTTTTAAGTCACAGCTCCTTCTAAATGCTTTATTGCATAATTGACAATTATATGGCTTTTCTCCGGTATGAATACGAAAATGTTTTTTAAGATCACTGCTAGTGGTATATGCTTTTCCACAAACTTCACAAATATATGGTGTTTCACCAGTATGAGTTCTTATATGTACTTGTAATTTACCACTAACTCTAAATCTTTTACCACAAGTATCACATTGAAAAGGCTTCTCACCAGTATGTATTCTTTCATGAATTTTTAAAGTGCTTGGATTAGCAAAAGATTTACCACATGAATCACAAACATGTGACTTTTCTTGAGAATGAATTCTATAATGTATCTTTAACTGTTTATTATTAAGGAAAACTTTTTGACACAAATTACAAGAAAACTGATTACCTTCTGAATGTATAAGTTGGTGGGTTTCTAAATCATTACTAGTCAAACATAATTTATTACATATACTGCAAATATATGCTTTATCACTTGTATTATGAATTCCTAGATGTATTTTTAGGGATATTCTCTTTTGAAAATCTTTACCACAAATTTCACATTTATAAGTATTTCTTCCTGAATCATTTCTAAACTGAGAATTTGGAATATTTTTAAAATCTCTTTTCGGAATACATTGTTCTTCAGTATGAATTTTTACATGCTTATTTAGATGACTGCTACTAGTAAATCCTTTTTGACATAAATTACAGAAATATGGCTTTTCTCCTGTATGAATAAATGTATGAGTCTGCAAATCAAATTTTCTTCTAAATGCTTTACCACAAGATTCACAAACATATGGTTTTTCAGTAGAATGTATTTGCTTATGTCTTCTCATTGTTGTAGGAGTTGTGAATATTTTATTGCATATATCACAAGTAAGAGATGTATCTCCCATATGAACTTTTAAGTGTGATTTCAATTTTACCATATTTTTATATTTTTTTCCACATATATCACAAATGAAAGGTTTTTTACTGGGAAAATTTTCTTGGTGAATTTTATTTTCATTAAAATTTGAAAATATTTCGTCACAGAAATTATGTTCAAAACCATTCCCTTCAGTATTGAATTCATCATCAAGGAGAATCTCAACATGGCAATTTTGATCCTTGCAATTCAAACTTTTCTCTTTTAACTGATCATTAATATCAAGAGAATTTTCATCTTCATCTCTACAATCATAACCGATTTTGTTATGCATTGATAATGTACCATTTATATCATCCATTGAGGAACTATTTGTGTTAATTAATACATCACACTGAAAGATATCATCTATAGTAATGTTTTCATTATCATTTTCTTCCATAACTTTCAGTCAAAATGATGCTTGTTTTTAGATATCATACGGATAATCAACGCTTGATTTCTGTTAAAACATTTGAATATTTTAGTCCATCGATTCTTTATATTTAAAATATGTCAGATAAATATATACCTGAACACTTATCATCATGCATTTAACTCAGTTCAATTTTCGTCGGTAACTTTACATTATCAGGATCACTTATCGTACAGTTTATTTTCAAAAACTAATTTATTTATTAAATAGTCATTACAAAAACACTTGTCACACTAAATCGTAAACTGGGTCACGCCATGATAACTAATATTACGCCACCTACATAATATATTCAATTTTTATGAAGAATTTAAATATTACAAAAATATGTTACAAATTATAGAAATTTCTGGTTAAAAATATTTAATAGAAAATTATAACAGCAAGAATAATAAAAATAGATTATTTTTAGAATTTAATGTTTCATTGTTACTCTATATATATATATATATATATATTTTTGCTCTTCCGCTCTATGAGCACTATGCACCCTACTGCCCATAGGGCGGAAAGAGCAAAAAAATATATTCCGCCCTATGGCGGAATATATTTTTTTGCTCTTTCCTCCCTAAAAAAGCCTCTTTTAGTAAGCCAATTATGGATTTGACTAGGTCCACAATGGGACGGCCGGGTGGTGAGGGACGTTACCCGACATATCCAGGCGGACCACTCACGAAAATTCCTGGAAATTATTCGACCCGTCCGGATTCGATTCCGGGTTCTCCAGAGCGGTATACTGTGATCTTGACCGCTCGGCCATCCGGCTGTCATTGTTGCTCTATCTTTAATATATTGTGTTATAAACTAAAAATCCTTAAAATAAGATTTTTGTCCTTTTCGTTCTGTGAAGATTAAGATATTTTAACATCAGTATACGCCTATATATTATTAAAGACTAGAATGCTACCAACAGAAGTACGAAGACATTTCTGAAGTAAATGTAAACTGGTAAACTTAAAAATTTGATAGTAATTTGTTTATCGAAGTTGTTTTTTTTCGCGATGTTTTGTTTTAGGTGATGCTAAACATTACTTCTTACATATTTTAAATGATAACAGGAGATTTTCTTATTTTCTGATGCTTCTCGTCTTATAAAAACAATCAGAAATAGAATTCTTAATCGACATAATTTACATGCAGTCTAATTTTTTATAAACTTATTTAAATGCTATATAATTGAACAGTCACTTATTTATTTAAGTTTTGAGTGATCGCACCGAGCATTTCAATCTAGATTGCTATCAAGGTCGGCAACTGTGCTTTGGTGCGACCTCTCTCGACTAGGGTTTCTGAAACGGGATTCCGGGATCCCGGGATCCCGGTTGTTTTTTTAACCCGGGAAATATCCCGGGAAATTTTTCTTATCCCGGGAAATCCCGCAAATTTCTTAAAAATTCACTTTTTTTCTTATTTTGTGTTAAGGTTGAGGAGTTTTGCAAATAGAAAGCATAATTAACTCATTCACTGCCAGAATACATTTGTATTTATTAATTTTAAACCTACCTATTAGTTTTTTTAAATTTTTGCTCGTTATAGCATGTCACAAATGGTCAATAATCAATATATAGCTTATTTGTGGCATGACTATAAAAATTCTTTACTTGTCGGAACCTGTAATATCTGGAATAATTGTGCTTACGCTGTCTTGAGTTTTAACCATGCCCAGTAGCTTCAATAAATGCCTGACGCCAGATTGTGCAAATTGGGCAAGGATACAAACGAGTACAAAGTCTGCAAGTATGAAGTTTTTCTTCATAAACCTGATTATTAAAGCCAAATGAATTGCCGAATTATCGAGCTCTAAGCTTGATGCCGCTATTAAAGCAGCCAAGGTAGACAAATCAAGAATACTAGAGAGCGAAAGAAGTACTACAATCTCGAAAACGAACTCGAAAGCTTCCAGGCTACAGGTGAAAAAACACATAATATCTGTCTTCTCTTAAATGCATTAAACACTATTCCAATCACATCAATTGAATCGGAAAGGGCATTCTCGGTGGCAAGACTTTTCATTACTAAAATAAGAATTAGAGTGAGTTATCGGAGTATTGACCATCTTTGCTTTTTAAAATCTTATAAAAGTTTGCAATATTTTGTATTATATTTTATTTAAAAAACGAAAATTACCTTCTAAATTAGAAGTTCATTTTTTTAATTTTTAACTCAATTCAAAACATTTTTTTTGTTGTTGTTGTATGCAGTTTCCAGCAAACTTTAATTAATTTTTTTCTATTTGTGAAAATTTCTACGTTATTTAAAGGTAATTTTTATTATAGGCCTATAGACCTAACACAGCATTATTAATATGATTTTGGAGGTTACAAAACTTTAAAATTACTTTAAAAAATGGAAAATAATTATATCATTTGATTTCAAGATATTTTGTATACCTTAAAAATAATTAATTCTATCCCGGGATTTCCCGGGATCCCGGGAAACAGTTCACTTTTATCCCGGGATCCCGGGACAAGCAAAATACCGGGAAATGAGAAACCCTACTCTCGACTGTTTCAATCTCGACTGAATCGCGGTTCAATCGCGATCGACTCAAGAGAGTTCTTGAAACTAGATCCAGTCATAAGAGAGATCCCATAATCCCTCGCGCGCGAGAACATACAAGATGGCTGCGGAACACGTGTTGGGCTATCAACAGAGAAATAAAAAAGACAACTGGAGAGACGATGACATCTGTCTATTATTAGATACATGGCAAGAAAAAGTACTGTATTTATTTCCAATCAAAACTTCCATTTTGTTTGTTGGTGTTCGTGATTAACGCGTAGTTATGTCAGTTTTATCATCGTGTGTAATAGCCGGGCTCTTCTCAAGCGGACTGCCTGTGCGAACAGCATGACGTTCGACTGGCGACAGTCACAATCGAGATCGAAGTGAGTCGTGGATTGTGTGCGAAAGTAGTATTAGGACGGGTTGGCATCGTGGAGTTTTCCGGGTTTTCTGTAACGCCTGAGTAGTAACTAGTTTCCCTTAAAAAGCCCTCTCTGGACTCGGAAAGACTCTCCCTAGGCAGATGGCCAAAGTGTTGCGTTGCAGTAAATTAAAAAACAAAATTCTATGGAAAATTATAGTTCTTCAGTTTCTATATCTAATAAGATCAACTGTTTCATATGTAATTAATTTTAGTAATAAGTTGCATTTTCAAAGTTGTTTTTCAATGTTTGGGAAACTTTATATTTCAACTCGATAATTACACTTGACAGTTCACACACCGTCAAATCTACTAACTTATCCACAGTATTCATGTCTTCTTTATAATTAATTTTCAAATTTATCGATTTGTTTTGTTTAATAGACATGTGGATTTTCTGTAAATTAAGAAATTAATGTGGCCATAGAAAAAGCCAGAGAGCCGCAAGCTGCATACGCAATGCTTATGTTGTAGAACATAATTGTTAAAATTTTCAGTGTAATTTATAACAAAAGTTTGTATATTAGTAATAACATAAACATAAAATTTATTTATAAAATAAACAATATTAATATATAATTTTGATAAATTATAATGTTTCGTGAAAAAATTGCGGCACTAAAATCAATGATAGTTTCAAATATAATCACCAGGGGATGTTAATATCAATGATAAAATATGGCGTCATCTTGTGTTGTAAACAAATCAATTTGTCAAAAATGGTATTTAATTTCATTTCTAATTGATTCAGCTTACATATCAATTTAGCTACTAAAAACTGATATATAAATTATTAAATCATTTCGGTTTATTTAAGCAATCGAAATACTTTCAAAATATCTGTATTTAGAAATAATTTTGAACATATTAAATATATAATTATTACTACTATTGTTATTAATTGAAATAAATGAAGATGATTTTATCTTTTCGAGCGATTAACGCAAAAAATAATTTATATTTACATAAATATAGATTATTTTTGCGTTAATCGCTCACTGCCGAGGCGGTTTAGGTCTCAGCCTACTGTTCTGGATGGTCCCGAGTTCGAATCCAAATGACTCAAAAAAACTACGAACTTTTTGGTGGGTTTGTCCACAAGAGGGCGCGCCCCACCGAGCACACAATGGACTTGATTAAAAACCCCATTTAGTGCCCACACAACTGAAAGACTAAAAAATAGTTCAGAAATTAAAATAAAAATACTCTGTTTAAAATTTTGGAGTTAAAATTCTATTTATTTGTCAAATATTAAGATGTAGTAAAATAAATATAAACGATATATATTGAAATATTGACTTAAAATTCATCAAATTATTATTTTATTGTTAATTTTCAATCAATATCAGTTTCTGAAGAATAGCGTAATCATTTATACATTAGAAAATATTATTCCGATAATTATAATTATTTCATATGACTTAATTTCACACCTAATTGTCTTATATGAAGTGTTGAATGTATTTCAATCTATTTAAAAAAAAACAAGTGTTTCAACAATAATTTTAATATACATTAATTTCTATTTTTTAAATAATTTTTTGTAATTAATTTTTTAATTTTATACACTTAATATGTAAAATGTTTAATATAATTAATAACTGCAGGAAAATTTAATTATTGTATTATTCACTTCTGTTAAATGTTTCAATAATCTTTTTTATGTTAATGTATTAAATATGATATTTTTCTTCTTAGTCCTAAGCCCTTCAGTGGGCATGGTGATATTATGAATTGACGGCTTTAATTGTATCTTTCCACTACTAACAGTGTTGTGCCATTGGATGATTTCATACATTTATGTCCTGTGATCATTACTTGGTCTGCCCACCTAATCTGACATCTGCCTCTAGGGCATTTGCCATTGATCTTTCCATCTAGAATTTGTTTCTCAAATCCATTCTTGCATCTGGAAATATGTCCCAAGAAGCAAAAGTAGGATTGGTATATTTTAGTGGTAAGGTGTGTTGTGATTTTCAGTTGATTTAGGATGGAGCAATTTGTTCGGTGCTTCATTCAAGAGATTCTTAGCATTCTTCTATATGTCCATATTTCAAAGGAATCAAGTTTCCTTTGAAATATGGACTTCCAAGAAGTGGCATTTATGGTCCAGGCTTCTGAGATTTAAGTGGCAATCAGAAAAATAAGTGTTTTTATGAGCTTTAGTTTATTAACCACTTGACAACTAGTGGACTATTGGATTGCATCTATTAGTCATTATTTTGATTGAAACATACTTCTTATTAGGATAATATATTTGCAGTTTCATTTAAGCTTTCAGTTTTTATTTAATAGATCCTGTGGTTTATTATGATATATTAATTCAAGTACTCTATTTACTGTTCAGTTATAAATCTTTGTATTATAAAGATGAAATACAGTACTGTATGTACATATAACATATGTAAGTTCACCTACTAAAAATTGGGTATAAATTAATAAAGAAGGCCTTTTAAAATAGCTGAAAACGTTAGTTCTTTGATTTAATTAAAGAAATTGCTAGAAAAGAGAGAAAGGTGCCTGAAAATTATTATAGAAAAAAAAGTTCTAGCTTACTGCACATAGAATTAATAAACACTGAATATAAAATCAAAATCCAGCAAGAAGAAACTAGAATCTTGCTGGATTTTGATTATATGTGCAATAGTTATATAATGTATATATGTTAATAAAAACATAATCTTATATATAATTTTTTTTTCAACTAAATATAAAGTTTATTTTAGTCTTTTATTGCATATATTTATTTTTATCGTGTTAGTATTTATTTATAAAATATGCATTGATACTAGGAGTATTTAATTTATCAAATGAGATGAAATTAATTTAGAAAAGAATTTACATATTTATGCTAATCGTTAATTTCTTAACAACAATGGTATGATATGATGTTATGTTAGAAATGTAATATAGGCTAGAACTCTGAATTTCTTTTATAAAATAATCTATAAAAAGTTTCTCTTGATAAAATAGAATTAATTCTTCACTGTCATCCTTTAAAATTTTCAGTAAATGAGAGAGACCTTCTTGTTGATTTTTCAAGTATAATTTAATTTCTTCTTGTAAATTTTCATCAAGACTATAGCGTTCAGATTCCCCAAAAGCAGCACCAACATGATTCTGCATACGAATTTGAGATAATAATTCCTTTAAACGACCCTTAAATTGTGTTGGAGCATTTAACTCGGCCTGAATTGCTTCTAATTGAACTCTAAGTTGTTCTTCATCTGCTTGTATGGCATAACCATATTTACGCATAACTTCCTGTTGTGCCATTATCTTTAATACTTTATGTCCAAGTTCAATTTGATTTCTGTTTTTTTTTTTTTTTTTTTTTTTTTTGTTAAACAAATGCAACTATAATTTAATTTTTCTCAAAATATAATTTTTCTCAAAATGAAATGAAATCCTTTTGGAGGATTTCATTTCATTTGGCTCATTAACATAAATATAGATTATTTTTGCGTTAATCGCTCACTGCCGAGGCGGTTTAGGTCTCAGCCTACTGTTCTGGATGGTCCCGAGTTCGAATCCAAATGACTCAAAAAAACTACGAACTTTTTGGTGGGTTTGTCCACAAGAGGGCGCGCCCCACCGAGCACACAATGGACTTGATTAAAAACCCCATTTAGTGCCCACACAACTGAAAGACTAAAAAATAGTTCAGAAATTAAAATAAAAATACTCTGTTTAAAATTTTGGAGTTAAAATTCTATTTATTTGTCAAATATTAAGATGTAGTAAAATAAATATAAACGATATATATTGAAATATTGACTTAAAATTCATCAAATTATTATTTTATTGTTAATTTTCAATCAATATCAGTTTCTGAAGAATAGCGTAATCATTTATACATTAGAAAATATTATTCCGATAATTATAATTATTTCATATGACTTAATTTCACACCTAATTGTCTTATATGAAGTGTTGAATGTATTTCAATCTATTTAAAAAAAACAAGTGTTTCAACAATAATTTTAATATACATTAATTTCTATTTTTTAAATAATTTTTTGTAATTAATTTTTTAATTTTATACACTTAATATGTAAAATNTGTGTAAAATCCAAGTCGGATGTTGTAAACTAATAAATGTTCTCGTTAATCTTATCACGTCTTTTGATTCGTTCACGGTTACAAGAAATCATAACATAGAGTCTCTCAAGTCTCCATAGATATAACAAACACAGAAATAAATAACACGAAATAAATTGTAGCTATATGTCGATTCCACGCGACACGTCTGAACATGTAAGCTGAACAATAGTGTGGGGGGAGTGAGTAATCAAGAGTTGCATGACACTCAAACAAAAGACGAATCGACGAAATTTGAAAATCGCGTAACTCCGGATTCGCGTAAGTCGAGGTATTACTGTACTTTTATTTACTAGTTACAAAACAAATATTATAATTCATATAATTTAAATAAATTATTGAGACTTAACCAAGCTATAAAAATTTTAATTGTTTATTAATTATCATAGCTTTCATTAATTTACACTATTAAATGAAATGTTTACTCAAAAACTATATTAATTTACCTATCAGTTTCATTTAAGTACTTAAAAGCAAAAAATATGCTAAATTGTTAATTGTAATTTAGGATCTAATTCAATATGGTTTCAAATAATTACATTAAAAATTTAATACAATTTAAGAATATCTTCTTTAAAATATATATTTTATTTTTAAATATTGTATTTATTCTATAAACAGTATTCTATCTAAAACTTTTCTTTAGCTTGCAACTAAGTTTATTAAAAAACACTTACTGTTTGAGAGCAAGTATTGTTTGATTCTTTGGAAATTGGGTGACTAAATAGAATAAATCTGGTAACTTTTTTCCACTTTATTATTATTCAAGTAACAGTGCAACATTCAAGACACTGATACTTTATTTCAACCTACAGTAAGAGTGATAACACTGAATGGACTGTGAAATTTTACAGTTTAAAATAAGCCTTATCTTTCTCCAATAGACAGTTTCTACTTTCGAAGACTGACTATACTGAATAATTTCTGCCAAAAACTTATTTTTTAATAAATTCAGTCCCTGAAGTTAGTAGGCACACCTTGTATATTTGAAATGTTGTATTAACCAATATTTCAGTTGAATTTTTTATTTTAGATATTCTTATTTTATACATTATATATTATTTTGATATAAAATACTGTACAGAATTTCACAAAATAGAATTTTATATAAGTTAACATATTACTGTTATATAGTTTTATAAATGATAAAGTAAGTTTATATAATTATTATTGTTTGATTTAATATTTATATTTTTATATATTTCATAGGAGTGAAGAAATGAATATATCAAAATTTTAGAATATTCCCATAAACTATATAATGAAAATATAGGGCAACATGTCTTTGAATGATGACGATACATCTGAGAACTATGATGATAAAAATATTGATAATATTGACATATTTCAATGTAATGTAATAATCAATACAAGTGGTGCTTCATCAGATGAAACAACAGAATATGATGAAATATGTTATGATTATAATATTATCAATGACAATACCAATGATGCAAAAGTAGAGAAGATAAATTGTCAAGAAACCTTGGTTTTAGATGATAAAGATAACATTAATACCCAAGATGTTAATTTTACATATGATAAAACATTTCGAAAAGATAGTGAATGCAATCAACACTTCCACAAAAATAAAAATTTATATATATGTGATATATGTGGTAAGAAATTTGTAACTATGATAAGATTAAAGCTTCATCGGAAAATACATTCAAAGGATATTTCCCTTGTTTGTGATGTTTGTAATAAAAAATTTGCAACAACTAAAACTTTGAAATCTCATAAACAAATACATTCATCTGATAAACCATATATATGTGATTTTTGCAATAGAGGTTTTCGAAGAAAGGCTGACATGCAGATGCATACTTTTGTTCATACTGGTGAAAAACCATTTTTTTGTAATTTTTGCCAAAAGAGATTTATAAACAGCAGCCAATTAAAGAAACATTCAAGAATTCACGACTTAGCTTCGCAAGATATTGAGTTGTGTAATGAGGCTTTTATTAAAAGTAGTGATTTAAAACAGCAACTAAGAATCCATTCAAGAGAAAAAAAACCGTACACATGTACAACTTGTGGAAAAGAATTTCAAAGAAAATTATGTTTGGAAACTCATGAAAGGGTTCATACAGGTGAAAGACCATTTGTATGTGATATATGTAATAAGTCATTTATAAATGCTAGTAAATTAAAAATTCATTCAAGAATTCATACAGGTGAAACCCCATATGTATGCGAAATATGTGGAAAATTATGGACAACGGGTAGCGATTTGAAGAAACATCTCAGAATTCATACTGGAGAAAGACCTTATGTATGTGATTCTTGTGGTAAGACATTTAGAAGAAGTTGTGATTTAACAGCACACCAAAGAATTCATACAGGAAACAAACCTCACATATGTAATTTCTGTGGCAAAGGCTTTTTAAATAATAGTCAGTTATCAACACACTTGAGAACTCATACTGGTGAAAAACCATACAGTTGTGATTATTGCAATAAAAGATATATGACAAGTCATGATTTGAAAACTCATCAAATGACACATACAGGAGAAAAACCATTTTCTTGTGATATATGCCATAAAGGATTCATCAGTAATAGTCAATTACAGTCCCATCGGAGAATTCATACTGGAGAAAAACCATATATATGTGATTTCTGTGGAAAACGATTTATCAATACTAGCACTTTAAAGATACATCAAAGAATTCATACAGGCGAAAGACCTTATAAATGTGACACTTGTGGTAAAGGATTTATTGACAGTGGTAAACTGCAAGTTCATTTTCGGATCCATACTGGAGAGAAGCCATTTGTATGTAACTTGTGTGGTAGAGGTTGTATATCTAGTAGTAATTTGAAGAATCATCTAAAAATTCATAGTGAGAGCAGGCCATTTGTTTGTGATATATGTAATAAAGGATTTATAAATAATGTGAAATTACAAATCCATAAAAGAGGTCATACAGGTGAGAAGCCATACATTTGTAAATATTGTAATAAAGGTTTTGCAAGTGGTAGTAATTTAAAAACACATTTAAAAATTCATACTGGTGAAAAACCATATGTGTGTAATTATTGTGGGAAGACATTTGTACAACGTATACAATTACAAAATCATCTTAAAAGACATCGAACAATCTCAGTGACAGATGAATCATATAATGAATAATTGATAACAAAATCTCAAGAAGAAATTCAAATATAAATTTTTGAAAAATATCAATTACTTGTCATTTGCATTTTACATTTTTATAAGCAAAGTTGTCATTTGCTGTATTCTTAAACTAAGTCCTATTGTAATATTGTCAAAATTATTTAACATTTAACAATATTGAAAAATAAAACATCAAATAAGATAAAATGATAAATTACATATTACCAGTAAATAAGATCAAAAATTAAGATTCTATCCATTTTTTTATATTAAATATGTATGTAGAAATAAACAGAATAATTCAGATATTTTCAAATATGTTATCATCAAGAATAGACAAATATAATTTGATTTTGCATTTGTATATATTAGTACGTTCATTCCCAATGGTAACGTATTTGAAACAAGTAAACGCACTTGAATCATCTTATTTTTATATATATATTTAACAAGAATTTTAATTTTTGAAGAATAAATAAGTTTCTTTTTTTTTCTTTTAAATTAAAGCATTATATTTTGATAACTTATACAACTAGCTAAATTTTATATGTTTAATGTCTACACACACAAGTATATTTATAAAATGATATAAAATTAAATATATGCTTCTCAGAAGAATGAACCAATAAATATGAAGTTAAGATTATTTTCATTTTAGTCAACATGAAATTCCTAATATTTATCAAAATTAGCTTTAAGTTTTATCCAAGTTAAATGCATAAAATCAATTGTTCATTTGAACGATTTTATAAAATTAATTTATATATTTATTCTGTATATATATTGTACAGTACATAATACATGTTTTTAGTTATTGTGCATTTTCTCTAAGAGAAATTGTACTTTTCTCAAATATTTGTACAAAATTCTTATATAACTTGTGAGTAAAGTCAAAAGCTGTATGTAGTTTGTGATTTTAAAATAACATTTAAAATGTTAAATGTTTATTCTGTTGTTTTTCCCAGATATGATTTTAAAAATTTATTTACAAAACAAATTTGTGATTAAGGAATCATATATAATGTTGGGTTCCTGATAAACCACATCTTGAATTTAAGTACTTATTAGTATTTCAATCAAAAATAAAAAAAGCTATAACTTTATATTATTTGTAATGTACTATAAATTTACTGTAGTTCAAACTATGACAGAGTCATGTAAAATCAAATGTTTACGTTTAGTAGAATAGATATTTAAATTAAGATGAAATAAAACATTTTATAAATAATTTTGTTAATGTCTATGTCAATTTATTTTATACTTTGTAGCTAAATTATTCATTGTGAAATTTTTGCTGTATCATATATATTAAACCAAAGTATAATTTGATAGTCAATCATATATCATAGACTTAACTTTTAGTTTAGATTATGATTGACTACATACAAACATAATCTAAGTTAATCATAATTAAAATTAACCTCATTCTAGCCTGAAGATAATATAGCCTTTGGATATATAATTGTAATTATATTGAACAACTGGTAAAATTCACCAACTCATTAATACTTAAATTTGTTATATTATTTTTACATACATTGAATGAAATATTGATATATGTATCTTATATTTAATCACAATACCAGGCTGCAATTTTTAATCATCTTTTAATCTAAAAAAAGTCACTTGACTTCTGGTCCATACTTGAAGTTCATATATAGTTAATTGGTGTCTCTGGCCTCTAAGCTTTCCATATCTGGTCTGAATTTTAGTGGTGTCTTGCCTCTGTACATCATACTTATTCTGATAACAATTGAATTGTGCTAGTCATCTATCTAACCCTGTACTGGAGAAATTTTTGAGTTGAAATTGCGACTAGACAGGAAGTTTGTATATATTTAATTGATGCCTCCAGCCCCTAAGCTTTCCATATCTGTTCCATATCTGGTCTTTCTTTTCATCTACCTAACTGTTATCGAGATTAACACAGGACAGACAGATGGATGTTAGTGGAAATGTATAGGTCTGCAATTTGAAATAGCAGACAAAAAACTACTTTGTTTCTTATATGATAGATTTCTTGTAGACTAATATCATTGGAATCAAACACTGGCAAATTTTTGAACATATCAAAATATCAAGTGGTATTTTCTGTTATTTTTATAACATACTGTACTGTATGTATGTAATATACAGTATATACCATATTTTTTATACATTTTATTGTAAGAAATTAAATAGGAGTTACAGAAATGTTCATAATGAGAAAAAAAGTTATAAAGCAAAACATCTAATATTAGTGAAATAATCTTTTCCAAGGTAACCTCAGACTCTACTTTCACACACTGTTCCTTACTATCTACCTATAATCCTCACTTTACTCCTAGAACAATATCACCAACATTTTCTCTAGGACCTAGTCTGGAGAGCTCTTCTCCCTATGAGTCTAATGCACCACAATAACTTAGGCATTTTTACATAAGCTATAGTCTTCAGGTTATGTGTTCATATTGGTAGCTTTATTCAGGAATTTGGGCAACCCATAAACAATCCACAGTCAGCGAGGTTCTAATATGTGGCCCTTGGTATTTTGGAAATTAATTTTATTTTTCTGTTTTCTCTGTCCTGCCATTATGCAACTTTAATTAACCTGATATTCATAAAGAACGTTCAAACTAAACTTGACCAGTAAAAAGATGGAATAAACTGTATATTGTTTGCATATCATTAGCATATTTTAGTACATAGTTATGGAACTTGATGTTGGTACTTAGAGGCTAAAAGCCTGCAACTTTGTAAGAGAAAAACATATCAGTCATCCACTGGAAATCTAAAGTTCACTTTAGGTCCAAATCCAGAAAAGGTTGCTCATCACTGTTCTAAAGTATCATCAATCACTGTCATTGGATCTTATTCCAATTCCAATTCCTCAATCAGTTTTCTTTAGTCCTTCAGTATTGCATTATAGTATTTTTTGTGAACCATCAGCACCTGATTTAGATTATCTGCTTTAGTTAATATCAATAATCTTTCCAGTCACTGTTTACATCCTAAGTTTTCTCTAAACATTACTTCCTTGACACCTCTTCCCTTTTCTAATTTTCTGCATTTTAGTCACCATATTATTTTTAATTATTTATAAATTATAATCCATTTCAAAACACAAATACACTCACATAGACATATAAGTTTGGAGTAAGAGTTATGGAAGCATTTGAAAATCAAATAACTTTGAAAAATGTTTAAAAGAATACAGATATTATTGACTGAATTAACTGTAATTATTGATATTCAGTTTAATGTTAACAGTAGTATGAATGATTCAACTTATATCTTTTAATCATATTATTACAAAGTCATAACCATTTTCTCAAAAATACTTGTTCTTCAACCTTTAAGATTGAACTTTTTCCATTTACCATGTAAATTCTCATTTTTAATTTCTAATCTATTAGCAATTTTTTTAATTATTCTGAAATTACTGAATTTTTCACAGAATTAGCTTATTTTTTGCAACAATTCTATTGTTTGAATTCTATTGATAAGAAATGTTTAAAATTAATTTTAGAATTTTTTAATTCTAAAATTAATTTTGTACTGATTTTCTATTTTATATTGATTTCTCTTAAAATGAATCAAATTTTAGCATCGAGTTCCATACTAAAAACAAGAAAAAATTGTGTTCAAAATGTTTCATTTTTGAGTTATTTCTGAGGAAATAAAACTGTAAAAAATTTTTCAAATAAAGGTTATTTAAGAAAGTGTGTAACATGGATTAGTCATAAAATATGATTAATAAAAACAAAACTGATCAGATAACCAAAATGTATTATTCACAAATGTTTTCAGCCTCTAATTGAATATCTCAGCTTATATACAAATTGAATATCAGAGAACAGAATATTAGAATGATCCAAAAACTTTTCAATACCTGTTTCAGAAACAATATAAATTTATAGGTCTACAATTTGAAAAAATTGTAGACCTATAAATTCCCACTGTCTCCCATCTGTCTGCCCTTCCTTAATCTCAAGAACAGTGTTAGATGATAGTCAAGACTAAATATGTAAAGCTTGGGGGCAGGAGAACTCAATTAACTGTATACAAACTTCATGTAAATTCAATTCAAAAATTTTTCTCTAAATAGAATTACATAGATGACTGGCATGACTCTGTTGCTATCAGGAAAAGTATGATGTAAAGGGGCATTTCAGATTGATAACATGTACTGTATATGATTAAAAATTGCAGCCTGGCATTGTGACAACGTCACAATAAATAATTGCTCATTTATGTATAAAATTTCTCATTTATTCTATTTCATAATTATTAGAAAGGTACAATATAAAGTTACTTTTTTCCCTCTATGATTGCATTTAAAATATAATATCCAATACTTTAATCATTTCTTTGTCCTTATTTTATTTAGGTAAATAATGTATGATTTATTTTCAAACTTTTAATCATCATCATCAATAATTAAGTTTTTCATTAAAAAGTTTAAATTATAACATTTCCTTATGTAATTATCAAATTCACTAATGTAGTGTCTGGAAATTATTTTATAATTTAAAGTTTTTAATTATTACTTTGTAATATTTTTATATAATTTGTGTACAGGAATTTGATCCAATGTATACATATATTTTATATAATATTTTTTTGAAATGGTATACTTTACTTTGTAAATTCATGTAATGTTTGTTTCATTTATGATTAACAAAATCCTATAATAATAATACCTAATTCATATGATTTAATATTTCATATAAAGGAATAATTTATGGATTTAAAAATATTTTATTTAAGATATATTAATATATGATTTACAAAAATATAATAATGTAAACAAAATATTGAAAAATATTTTATAATTACAGAGAAATATTGAACACTTAATCAAATTAAATATCACATATACAGCCATATTAAATGACTAATTATGACCTTATTAAATTTTATGACAACAAATAGTTCATATAAAGTTTCATACTGAGTAAAAAACAAAATATAATTATTATATAATTTTTATTACTTGTTCATTTGTTAAATGATGATCTTTCTCTATAACTATCAGATTAATCACTAAAAAATAAAAAATAATCAAAAAATAGTATTTATTGCAAAACTTATTTAACACCACTGTAAAATTTATATAAAAATTAAGTAGACAAGACAATAGATTAGTATTTATTAACGTGGAAGCATTTCTTGAATATCAGCTAAAACATAAGCAGATGCTGTCCACAGAGCTGTACACAAATCCAGATTTTCTGGATCTTCTACTGTCATGGTATCACCATTTGAATGATGGAAATAAAAGTATTTCTCATTAGCATTTACTAAACTGATACCAGGTACTCCAGCATTCATAAACACAGTTGTGTCTGATCCTTCTTCCATTAAATTCAATTGTGTTGCATTAATGGGAGACATTAATTTTAGAATTTCTTGCATTATACACTGAGCAATAGTATTATTTCCTGAATAAGTAAGTCCTAATGGCTTAAATGTTCCAATATCCGATTCCATTACAACACTAAAATTTTTTAAATTCTTTTTATTGTTATTAAGATGAGTTATAGCTCCAAATAATCCTTCTTCTTCACCTGTCCAAAGAACAGCTCGAAGCGTACGTTTTGGTTTTAGTTTAAGTCGTGTCAAGATATCAAGAACACGCCAGGAAATGAAAGCACCAGCACCATCATCCATTGCTCCCTCTCCAACATCCCAGCTATCCAAGTGTCCACTCACCAGAACTATCTATTTAAATTTAGATATGCATTTAATATTTTTTAAAAACAAATATTTTAAATAGTTTTTACATATACCTGTTGTGGAAATGTTTGTCCTTTCATTTCAACGATGGTATTTCGTGACTTCACAGGTGGTAGATTCTTAGCACTCATTTTCAAATGGATAACAACTTTTGTTCCTAAAAAGTATCCACGTATATACAATTTGAAAACAACAAAAAATTAACACCATATTTCTGAAATGAGTATATATAATACCAATTTTATATTGTAGTACTAAATTTGGGAATGAAGACTGAACATTTAACCAAAAACAATATACAGTATAAACATATATACAGTAGACCCCCCTATAACACGGGTTCATATATATACTCGGATGTCTCCAAAATTCAATGAATTTTGGAGACATATAATGATGTCTCCAAAGTTCAATGAATTTTTCGCAGAAAAATAACTTATCAGAAAATGCGCCCACCGTTTAGTGCACTGCTCCATGACGGATTCATATATTGCAGTGAAAAAATTGCAACCATATTTGTATAAAGACACTAAAAGAGACTCGTAAAATGCGGTAAAACGTCATTGCTGACTCGTGTCGTGACAGGATTGGTCAAATCTGGACCAATAGTGGACGAGCAGCCGAACTACTTACACGCTACGGAGAGTTTAGGCAGGTAAGTTGAGTTTACTATCATCTGTACAGTATATAGGCCTAAATTAGGTACTGTAAGTCTAATACAGTACTGTAATTTTATACATTTCTTGTGGAAAAAAACATGTCTTATTCAACGGTCATAAAAATTATTTCTATTAATGATGTCTCCAAAGTTCAATGAATTTTTCGCAGAAAAATAACTTATCAGAAAATGCGCCCACCGTTTAGTGCACTGCTCCATGACGGATTCATATATTGCAGTGAAAAAATTGCAACCATATTTGTATAAAGACACTAAAAGAGACTCGTAAAATGCGGTAAAACGTCATTGCTGACTCGTGTCGTGACAGGATTGGTCAAATCTGGACCAATAGTGGACGAGCAGCCGAACTACTTACACGCTACGGAGAGTTTAGGCAGGTAAGTTGAGTTTACTATCATCTGTACAGTATATAGGCCTAAATTAGGTACTGTAAGTCTAATACAGTACTGTAATTTTATACATTTCTTGTGGAAAAAAACATGTCTTATTCAACGGTCATAAAAATTATTTCTATTAATGATGTCTCCAAAGTTCAATGAATTTTTCGCAGAAAAATAACTTATCAGAAAATGCGCCCACCGTTTAGTGCACTGCTCCATGACGAAAACAAGCTTAAGCAATGGCGTCATCGAATGGTGCACACTCGGTAAGTAATCCTACAATTTTTTGTTTATAGCATAGTTTATAGATTATTCCCAAAAAATTATACGTGTTTTGGAAATGTTGAGTCAAATTAGTCTAGAATCGATTAATTTTATGGAAGAAAACCTTTCAAACAGCTGTAGTCCGTAAACTGCACACGTGCCGGGCTGTGATTGGCTCATGTATTTAAGGATTCCTACAATGCGAAATTCTTAAGCGGAACGTATCTACCACGACTGTACTGTATATTGTTTTCAGTTTAATTTTGGTATGTTCTACATTTATAGTGTATATGAATACACATAAAAGCATACACATCTTTCATCTGGATTTATTTTTTATATTTATAAAGTTTAAAAAATTTATTTACTTTACATTTTATTAATATTTTCTTAATAATTTTTCTTTTTTCACTAATAATAATTTAATGTATGCCATAACATTTTCATAATAATTATTGCTATTATCTTTTTATGTACAAAATTATTTTCTTTTCAGTAACACTATTTTCTTTTATTTAATGCTTGTTGCATAATCTATAAATGTTTGCAATAAAATGTTTAAAATAAATTTTAATTTGCTACTTTATAAAAACTATGTATGAGCAGATTTTTGGTAATGTTGGAATTTAGTGTTTTCCAGTGTATCTGGCTTAAATTTGTCACAAAAATCTGCTGAAAACTAATTATGACATCAAATATTGTTAACAATTTTTATGTTCAGTAACTTATTGGCATATTACATCATTATTATTACTATGATTTTATTCAAGTATTCAATATTTTTTATTATATTGAAATGTCCTTACCACCATGCATATACATGTAGGGGCTTAATCTTTCTTGAAATAGTTGTGTAATTTCCACCAACCAGACATTTGTTATATTATACAAATGTTTAAAATGTGCTTTAATAAAATACTTATCCATAATAAAATCTTATATCCACATGAAAATAAAATATTTTCACGTGGATATAAGATTCTCTCATATTTGTCTTTACTTAATTTTTTTTTAATGTATTAAAAATTAATTGTATTTGTTTCTGTATTTACTAAAACTTTTCAATAGACACAAACAGTTTATTGATTTTTCTGACAAACAAGTCCTTTGTTATCACACAAAAATTCCAGAAATGGAGAAGTTCCTTTCATTTAGTGTTGATGTTGGTTATGCAAAATGGAACGTTTTTGAGCAATTTTATCCGAGGATTCATAAATATTTATTTCTTGAGCTAATGAAGTGAAACCATTCTCAGTCATTTTGATTAGTACAGTACCAAGCTTTGTCAAATCAATTCTTCCAGTTCCTTATCATTGTGTGTTGAAGTGGGCAGAATGATATTACAGTAAAACCTCAATTTAATGAACTTTTGATTTAACAGAAAAAATTCCCAGTACTTATGTCATATATGAAAATTAACACCCTGTTAATTTTAAAATGCTTTTTATATGTAATTAAACTAATAGGTTTTTTTCAAATCCAAGAGTCATCAATCTTAAGAACATTAATCATATTTAAATAAACAAATAAAGTATATTTTCCAAAAAATGTTGGTTTATTGATATTGCTTTAGATCATATACTTGTTTATTAGTCTCAGAACTACAATGAGTACATAAGCAATAGTACATATAGGAAACTTTTCTGTGAAATTTTAACTTTTAATATAGGTAACCCCGTATAACACAGTAGTTACGTTCCAAAAAATTGCCGTGTTATGCGAATCCGTGTTATATGAAACAAAGAATTAGTACGAAAAGGAGGGTTAGGTTCCAAAAATTAAAAAACATGCTAGTATATTTTCATAAATATTATCGTAAAAAAAAAAATTTAAATTACATCTAACCTGAGCAGCTTTGGATTTGAGTTCATCGAAACTTTTTACAGCTATAACTTNAGTGAAGAAATGAATATATCAAAATTTTAGAATATTCCCATAAACTATATAATGAAAATATAGGGCAACATGTCTTTGAATGATGACGATACATCTGAGAACTATGATGATAAAAATATTGATAATATTGACATATTTCAATGTAATGTAATAATCAATACAAGTGGTGCTTCATCAGATGAAACAACAGAATATGATGAAATATGTTATGATTATAATATTATCAATGACAATACCAATGATGCAAAAGTAGAGAAGATAAATTGTCAAGAAACCTTGGTTTTAGATGATAAAGATAACATTAATACCCAAGATGTTAATTTTACATATGATAAAACATTTCGAAAAGATAGTGAATGCAATCAACACTTCCACAAAAATAAAAATTTATATATATGTGATATATGTGGTAAGAAATTTGTAACTATGATAAGATTAAAGCTTCATCGGAAAATACATTCAAAGGATATTTCCCTTGTTTGTGATGTTTGTAATAAAAAATTTGCAACAACTAAAACTTTGAAATCTCATAAACAAATACATTCATCTGATAAACCATATATATGTGATTTTTGCAATAGAGGTTTTCGAAGAAAGGCTGACATGCAGATGCATACTTTTGTTCATACTGGTGAAAAACCATTTTTTTGTAATTTTTGCCAAAAGAGATTTATAAACAGCAGCCAATTAAAGAAACATTCAAGAATTCACGACTTAGCTTCGCAAGATATTGAGTTGTGTAATGAGGCTTTTATTAAAAGTAGTGATTTAAAACAGCAACTAAGAATCCATTCAAGAGAAAAAAAACCGTACACATGTACAACTTGTGGAAAAGAATTTCAAAGAAAATTATGTTTGGAAACTCATGAAAGGGTTCATACAGGTGAAAGACCATTTGTATGTGATATATGTAATAAGTCATTTATAAATGCTAGTAAATTAAAAATTCATTCAAGAATTCATACAGGTGAAACCCCATATGTATGCGAAATATGTGGAAAATTATGGACAACGGGTAGCGATTTGAAGAAACATCTCAGAATTCATACTGGAGAAAGACCTTATGTATGTGATTCTTGTGGTAAGACATTTAGAAGAAGTTGTGATTTAACAGCACACCAAAGAATTCATACAGGAAACAAACCTCACATATGTAATTTCTGTGGCAAAGGCTTTTTAAATAATAGTCAGTTATCAACACACTTGAGAACTCATACTGGTGAAAAACCATACAGTTGTGATTATTGCAATAAAAGATATATGACAAGTCATGATTTGAAAACTCATCAAATGACACATACAGGAGAAAAACCATTTTCTTGTGATATATGCCATAAAGGATTCATCAGTAATAGTCAATTACAGTCCCATCGGAGAATTCATACTGGAGAAAAACCATATATATGTGATTTCTGTGGAAAACGATTTATCAATACTAGCACTTTAAAGATACATCAAAGAATTCATACAGGCGAAAGACCTTATAAATGTGACACTTGTGGTAAAGGATTTATTGACAGTGGTAAACTGCAAGTTCATTTTCGGATCCATACTGGAGAGAAGCCATTTGTATGTAACTTGTGTGGTAGAGGTTGTATATCTAGTAGTAATTTGAAGAATCATCTAAAAATTCATAGTGAGAGCAGGCCATTTGTTTGTGATATATGTAATAAAGGATTTATAAATAATGTGAAATTACAAATCCATAAAAGAGGTCATACAGGTGAGAAGCCATACATTTGTAAATATTGTAATAAAGGTTTTGCAAGTGGTAGTAATTTAAAAACACATTTAAAAATTCATACTGGTGAAAAACCATATGTGTGTAATTATTGTGGGAAGACATTTGTACAACGTATACAATTACAAAATCATCTTAAAAGACATCGAACAATCTCAGTGACAGATGAATCATATAATGAATAATTGATAACAAAATCTCAAGAAGAAATTCAAATATAAATTTTTGAAAAATATCAATTACTTGTCATTTGCATTTTACATTTTTATAAGCAAAGTTGTCATTTGCTGTATTCTTAAACTAAGTCCTATTGTAATATTGTCAAAATTATTTAACATTTAACAATATTGAAAAATAAAACATCAAATAAGATAAAATGATAAATTACATATTACCAGTAAATAAGATCAAAAATTAAGATTCTATCCATTTTTTTATATTAAATATGTATGTAGAAATAAACAGAATAATTCAGATATTTTCAAATATGTTATCATCAAGAATAGACAAATATAATTTGATTTTGCATTTGTATATATTAGTACGTTCATTCCCAATGGTAACGTATTTGAAACAAGTAAACGCACTTGAATCATCTTATTTTTATATATATATTTAACAAGAATTTTAATTTTTGAAGAATAAATAAGTTTCTTTTTTTTTCTTTTAAATTAAAGCATTATATTTTGATAACTTATACAACTAGCTAAATTTTATATGTTTAATGTCTACACACACAAGTATATTTATAAAATGATATAAAATTAAATATATGCTTCTCAGAAGAATGAACCAATAAATATGAAGTTAAGATTATTTTCATTTTAGTCAACATGAAATTCCTAATATTTATCAAAATTAGCTTTAAGTTTTATCCAAGTTAAATGCATAAAATCAATTGTTCATTTGAACGATTTTATAAAATTAATTTATATATTTATTCTGTATATATATTGTACAGTACATAATACATGTTTTTAGTTATTGTGCATTTTCTCTAAGAGAAATTGTACTTTTCTCAAATATTTGTACAAAATTCTTATATAACTTGTGAGTAAAGTCAAAAGCTGTATGTAGTTTGTGATTTTAAAATAACATTTAAAATGTTAAATGTTTATTCTGTTGTTTTTCCCAGATATGATTTTAAAAATTTATTTACAAAACAAATTTGTGATTAAGGAATCATATATAATGTTGGGTTCCTGATAAACCACATCTTGAATTTAAGTACTTATTAGTATTTCAATCAAAAATAAAAAAAGCTATAACTTTATATTATTTGTAATGTACTATAAATTTACTGTAGTTCAAACTATGACAGAGTCATGTAAAATCAAATGTTTACGTTTAGTAGAATAGATATTTAAATTAAGATGAAATAAAACATTTTATAAATAATTTTGTTAATGTCTATGTCAATTTATTTTATACTTTGTAGCTAAATTATTCATTGTGAAATTTTTGCTGTATCATATATATTAAACCAAAGTATAATTTGATAGTCAATCATATATCATAGACTTAACTTTTAGTTTAGATTATGATTGACTACATACAAACATAATCTAAGTTAATCATAATTAAAATTAACCTCATTCTAGCCTGAAGATAATATAGCCTTTGGATATATAATTGTAATTATATTGAACAACTGGTAAAATTCACCAACTCATTAATACTTAAATTTGTTATATTATTTTTACATACATTGAATGAAATATTGATATATGTATCTTATATTTAATCACAATACCAGGCTGCAATTTTTAATCATCTTTTAATCTAAAAAAAGTCACTTGACTTCTGGTCCATACTTGAAGTTCATATATAGTTAATTGGTGTCTCTGGCCTCTAAGCTTTCCATATCTGGTCTGAATTTTAGTGGTGTCTTGCCTCTGTACATCATACTTATTCTGATAACAATTGAATTGTGCTAGTCATCTATCTAACCCTGTACTGGAGAAATTTTTGAGTTGAAATTGCGACTAGACAGGAAGTTTGTATATATTTAATTGATGCCTCCAGCCCCTAAGCTTTCCATATCTGTTCCATATCTGGTCTTTCTTTTCATCTACCTAACTGTTATCGAGATTAACACAGGACAGACAGATGGATGTTAGTGGAAATGTATAGGTCTGCAATTTGAAATAGCAGACAAAAAACTACTTTGTTTCTTATATGATAGATTTCTTGTAGACTAATATCATTGGAATCAAACACTGGCAAATTTTTGAACATATCAAAATATCAAGTGGTATTTTCTGTTATTTTTATAACATACTGTACTGTATGTATGTAATATACAGTATATACCATATTTTTTATACATTTTATTGTAAGAAATTAAATAGGAGTTACAGAAATGTTCATAATGAGAAAAAAAGTTATAAAGCAAAACATCTAATATTAGTGAAATAATCTTTTCCAAGGTAACCTCAGACTCTACTTTCACACACTGTTCCTTACTATCTACCTATAATCCTCACTTTACTCCTAGAACAATATCACCAACATTTTCTCTAGGACCTAGTCTGGAGAGCTCTTCTCCCTATGAGTCTAATGCACCACAATAACTTAGGCATTTTTACATAAGCTATAGTCTTCAGGTTATGTGTTCATATTGGTAGCTTTATTCAGGAATTTGGGCAACCCATAAACAATCCACAGTCAGCGAGGTTCTAATATGTGGCCCTTGGTATTTTGGAAATTAATTTTATTTTTCTGTTTTCTCTGTCCTGCCATTATGCAACTTTAATTAACCTGATATTCATAAAGAACGTTCAAACTAAACTTGACCAGTAAAAAGATGGAATAAACTGTATATTGTTTGCATATCATTAGCATATTTTAGTACATAGTTATGGAACTTGATGTTGGTACTTAGAGGCTAAAAGCCTGCAACTTTGTAAGAGAAAAACATATCAGTCATCCACTGGAAATCTAAAGTTCACTTTAGGTCCAAATCCAGAAAAGGTTGCTCATCACTGTTCTAAAGTATCATCAATCACTGTCATTGGATCTTATTCCAATTCCAATTCCTCAATCAGTTTTCTTTAGTCCTTCAGTATTGCATTATAGTATTTTTTGTGAACCATCAGCACCTGATTTAGATTATCTGCTTTAGTTAATATCAATAATCTTTCCAGTCACTGTTTACATCCTAAGTTTTCTCTAAACATTACTTCCTTGACACCTCTTCCCTTTTCTAATTTTCTGCATTTTAGTCACCATATTATTTTTAATTATTTATAAATTATAATCCATTTCAAAACACAAATACACTCACATAGACATATAAGTTTGGAGTAAGAGTTATGGAAGCATTTGAAAATCAAATAACTTTGAAAAATGTTTAAAAGAATACAGATATTATTGACTGAATTAACTGTAATTATTGATATTCAGTTTAATGTTAACAGTAGTATGAATGATTCAACTTATATCTTTTAATCATATTATTACAAAGTCATAACCATTTTCTCAAAAATACTTGTTCTTCAACCTTTAAGATTGAACTTTTTCCATTTACCATGTAAATTCTCATTTTTAATTTCTAATCTATTAGCAATTTTTTTAATTATTCTGAAATTACTGAATTTTTCACAGAATTAGCTTATTTTTTGCAACAATTCTATTGTTTGAATTCTATTGATAAGAAATGTTTAAAATTAATTTTAGAATTTTTTAATTCTAAAATTAATTTTGTACTGATTTTCTATTTTATATTGATTTCTCTTAAAATGAATCAAATTTTAGCATCGAGTTCCATACTAAAAACAAGAAAAAATTGTGTTCAAAATGTTTCATTTTTGAGTTATTTCTGAGGAAATAAAACTGTAAAAAATTTTTCAAATAAAGGTTATTTAAGAAAGTGTGTAACATGGATTAGTCATAAAATATGATTAATAAAAACAAAACTGATCAGATAACCAAAATGTATTATTCACAAATGTTTTCAGCCTCTAATTGAATATCTCAGCTTATATACAAATTGAATATCAGAGAACAGAATATTAGAATGATCCAAAAACTTTTCAATACCTGTTTCAGAAACAATATAAATTTATAGGTCTACAATTTGAAAAAATTGTAGACCTATAAATTCCCACTGTCTCCCATCTGTCTGCCCTTCCTTAATCTCAAGAACAGTGTTAGATGATAGTCAAGACTAAATATGTAAAGCTTGGGGGCAGGAGAACTCAATTAACTGTATACAAACTTCATGTAAATTCAATTCAAAAATTTTTCTCTAAATAGAATTACATAGATGACTGGCATGACTCTGTTGCTATCAGGAAAAGTATGATGTAAAGGGGCATTTCAGATTGATAACATGTACTGTATATGATTAAAAATTGCAGCCTGGCATTGTGACAACGTCACAATAAATAATTGCTCATTTATGTATAAAATTTCTCATTTATTCTATTTCATAATTATTAGAAAGGTACAATATAAAGTTACTTTTTTCCCTCTATGATTGCATTTAAAATATAATATCCAATACTTTAATCATTTCTTTGTCCTTATTTTATTTAGGTAAATAATGTATGATTTATTTTCAAACTTTTAATCATCATCATCAATAATTAAGTTTTTCATTAAAAAGTTTAAATTATAACATTTCCTTATGTAATTATCAAATTCACTAATGTAGTGTCTGGAAATTATTTTATAATTTAAAGTTTTTAATTATTACTTTGTAATATTTTTATATAATTTGTGTACAGGAATTTGATCCAATGTATACATATATTTTATATAATATTTTTTTGAAATGGTATACTTTACTTTGTAAATTCATGTAATGTTTGTTTCATTTATGATTAACAAAATCCTATAATAATAATACCTAATTCATATGATTTAATATTTCATATAAAGGAATAATTTATGGATTTAAAAATATTTTATTTAAGATATATTAATATATGATTTACAAAAATATAATAATGTAAACAAAATATTGAAAAATATTTTATAATTACAGAGAAATATTGAACACTTAATCAAATTAAATATCACATATACAGCCATATTAAATGACTAATTATGACCTTATTAAATTTTATGACAACAAATAGTTCATATAAAGTTTCATACTGAGTAAAAAACAAAATATAATTATTATATAATTTTTATTACTTGTTCATTTGTTAAATGATGATCTTTCTCTATAACTATCAGATTAATCACTAAAAAATAAAAAATAATCAAAAAATAGTATTTATTGCAAAACTTATTTAACACCACTGTAAAATTTATATAAAAATTAAGTAGACAAGACAATAGATTAGTATTTATTAACGTGGAAGCATTTCTTGAATATCAGCTAAAACATAAGCAGATGCTGTCCACAGAGCTGTACACAAATCCAGATTTTCTGGATCTTCTACTGTCATGGTATCACCATTTGAATGATGGAAATAAAAGTATTTCTCATTAGCATTTACTAAACTGATACCAGGTACTCCAGCATTCATAAACACAGTTGTGTCTGATCCTTCTTCCATTAAATTCAATTGTGTTGCATTAATGGGAGACATTAATTTTAGAATTTCTTGCATTATACACTGAGCAATAGTATTATTTCCTGAATAAGTAAGTCCTAATGGCTTAAATGTTCCAATATCCGATTCCATTACAACACTAAAATTTTTTAAATTCTTTTTATTGTTATTAAGATGAGTTATAGCTCCAAATAATCCTTCTTCTTCACCTGTCCAAAGAACAGCTCGAAGCGTACGTTTTGGTTTTAGTTTAAGTCGTGTCAAGATATCAAGAACACGCCAGGAAATGAAAGCACCAGCACCATCATCCATTGCTCCCTCTCCAACATCCCAGCTATCCAAGTGTCCACTCACCAGAACTATCTATTTAAATTTAGATATGCATTTAATATTTTTTAAAAACAAATATTTTAAATAGTTTTTACATATACCTGTTGTGGAAATGTTTGTCCTTTCATTTCAACGATGGTATTTCGTGACTTCACAGGTGGTAGATTCTTAGCACTCATTTTCAAATGGATAACAACTTTTGTTCCTAAAAAGTATCCACGTATATACAATTTGAAAACAACAAAAAATTAACACCATATTTCTGAAATGAGTATATATAATACCAATTTTATATTGTAGTACTAAATTTGGGAATGAAGACTGAACATTTAACCAAAAACAATATACAGTATAAACATATATACAGTAGACCCCCCTATAACACGGGTTCATATATATACTCGGATGTCTCCAAAATTCAATGAATTTTGGAGACATATAATGATGTCTCCAAAGTTCAATGAATTTTTCGCAGAAAAATAACTTATCAGAAAATGCGCCCACCGTTTAGTGCACTGCTCCATGACGGATTCATATATTGCAGTGAAAAAATTGCAACCATATTTGTATAAAGACACTAAAAGAGACTCGTAAAATGCGGTAAAACGTCATTGCTGACTCGTGTCGTGACAGGATTGGTCAAATCTGGACCAATAGTGGACGAGCAGCCGAACTACTTACACGCTACGGAGAGTTTAGGCAGGTAAGTTGAGTTTACTATCATCTGTACAGTATATAGGCCTAAATTAGGTACTGTAAGTCTAATACAGTACTGTAATTTTATACATTTCTTGTGGAAAAAAACATGTCTTATTCAACGGTCATAAAAATTATTTCTATTAATGATGTCTCCAAAGTTCAATGAATTTTTCGCAGAAAAATAACTTATCAGAAAATGCGCCCACCGTTTAGTGCACTGCTCCATGACGAAAACAAGCTTAAGCAATGGCGTCATCGAATGGTGCACACTCGGTAAGTAATCCTACAATTTTTTGTTTATAGCATAGTTTATAGATTATTCCCAAAAAATTATACGTGTTTTGGAAATGTTGAGTCAAATTAGTCTAGAATCGATTAATTTTATGGAAGAAAACCTTTCAAACAGCTGTAGTCCGTAAACTGCACACGTGCCGGGCTGTGATTGGCTCATGTATTTAAGGATTCCTACAATGCGAAATTCTTAAGCGGAACGTATCTACCACGACTGTACTGTATATTGTTTTCAGTTTAATTTTGGTATGTTCTACATTTATAGTGTATATGAATACACATAAAAGCATACACATCTTTCATCTGGATTTATTTTTTATATTTATAAAGTTTAAAAAATTTATTTACTTTACATTTTATTAATATTTTCTTAATAATTTTTCTTTTTTCACTAATAATAATTTAATGTATGCCATAACATTTTCATAATAATTATTGCTATTATCTTTTTATGTACAAAATTATTTTCTTTTCAGTAACACTATTTTCTTTTATTTAATGCTTGTTGCATAATCTATAAATGTTTGCAATAAAATGTTTAAAATAAATTTTAATTTGCTACTTTATAAAAACTATGTATGAGCAGATTTTTGGTAATGTTGGAATTTAGTGTTTTCCAGTGTATCTGGCTTAAATTTGTCACAAAAATCTGCTGAAAACTAATTATGACATCAAATATTGTTAACAATTTTTATGTTCAGTAACTTATTGGCATATTACATCATTATTATTACTATGATTTTATTCAAGTATTCAATATTTTTTATTATATTGAAATGTCCTTACCACCATGCATATACATGTAGGGGCTTAATCTTTCTTGAAATAGTTGTGTAATTTCCACCAACCAGACATTTGTTATATTATACAAATGTTTAAAATGTGCTTTAATAAAATACTTATCCATAATAAAATCTTATATCCACATGAAAATAAAATATTTTCACGTGGATATAAGATTCTCTCATATTTGTCTTTACTTAATTTTTTTTTAATGTATTAAAAATTAATTGTATTTGTTTCTGTATTTACTAAAACTTTTCAATAGACACAAACAGTTTATTGATTTTTCTGACAAACAAGTCCTTTGTTATCACACAAAAATTCCAGAAATGGAGAAGTTCCTTTCATTTAGTGTTGATGTTGGTTATGCAAAATGGAACGTTTTTGAGCAATTTTATCCGAGGATTCATAAATATTTATTTCTTGAGCTAATGAAGTGAAACCATTCTCAGTCATTTTGATTAGTACAGTACCAAGCTTTGTCAAATCAATTCTTCCAGTTCCTTATCATTGTGTGTTGAAGTGGGCAGAATGATATTACAGTAAAACCTCAATTTAATGAACTTTTGATTTAACAGAAAAAATTCCCAGTACTTATGTCATATATGAAAATTAACACCCTGTTAATTTTAAAATGCTTTTTATATGTAATTAAACTAATAGGTTTTTTTCAAATCCAAGAGTCATCAATCTTAAGAACATTAATCATATTTAAATAAACAAATAAAGTATATTTTCCAAAAAATGTTGGTTTATTGATATTGCTTTAGATCATATACTTGTTTATTAGTCTCAGAACTACAATGAGTACATAAGCAATAGTACATATAGGAAACTTTTCTGTGAAATTTTAACTTTTAATATAGGTAACCCCGTATAACACAGTAGTTACGTTCCAAAAAATTGCCGTGTTATGCGAATCCGTGTTATATGAAACAAAGAATTAGTACGAAAAGGAGGGTTAGGTTCCAAAAATTAAAAAACATGCTATTATATTTTCATAATTAAGATAAATATCTTTATTAAAATTTTCTTAAGTGATACATATTAATATAAATTAAACAATATTTTCTTCGTCATCACTAAAAGCACTATTAACGGAAAGCGTTTTCTTTTTGGCAAGTTATCCTTATCCTCTGAGCATTTTTCTGCATTATCTTCAGATCCATGCTTTACCTTTTGCAAAATGTATGTAATTTTAGATTGCTTGCTTCTAGTTAAAAGGTCTTTATAAATTTCCTTATATGGTGCTAAGCACTTATGGAATAAGGGAAAAACATCTGAAAACATCAGAAGCAGAAGCGTTGAGATCTGGCAAAATTGAAACAAGTTTCGAGAAGGACCAAATTTTCTTTTCTCCCCTTTTGTCCTGTATGGACAAAAGGGGAGAAAAGAAAATTTACATACTGAAGTACTAACAGTTTACGAAAATTATTATTTTTGTGAACTATTAGTACTTAAGTATGTAAAAATTTATTACATTTTATGTTGTATGAAGGTTTTACCCATTTCTCAAACCGTGTCAGAGTGAATCCGTGCTATAGAAGTGCCGTGTTATACAGGGTTACCTGTACATACATAATTTTAATTATACAAGCATATCTACATAAGTACTAGATCAGCAGTTCCCAAAGTGTGTCAAAACTTCCTCACAGACATGCTGCAAAATATAAAATTTTCATAATTTTACTTTCACTTTCAATTCAATGTGATAAGATGCCACATTTAGCAGACCTGATGCAAATCATTAACTCAGTAATAAAGGTGGCACAAAGAATCACAAAATGTAAAAAGCCTCATACCATCACAGAAAAACTCATTCTACCAGCTGCTGTAGATATGGTGAACATTATGATCAGTGGGTCTTCTGGGTAACAGCTTTCAAAATGCCTTTGTCCAATAAAACCATCAGTCAAAGAATACATCACATAGCAAAGGACCTCCAATGTTCAGTTGTTGAAAAAATAGAAGGGGAAGAATTTGGTTTGCAGCTGGATGAGGAAATAGATAATAATACTGATGCTCATTTGATTTATAAATACTATGTACAGTTTACAGATAGTAATAACATTGTAGAAGATTTTCTCTTATGTATAAGTATCAATGCTGGTGCTAAGGCTCAAGACTTGTTCGAGATCCTTGATATTTTTATTTCCAAAAATAATTTGGAGTGGACTAAATGCATTGGTATCTTTACTGATGGTGCTCATTCTATGTCCGGATGTTATGGAGGATTGCAAGCACTTTTTTGAAGCAAAGACCCTGATGCACTGACAGTGACGTAGTATAGTAGGGGCTGCACTTTTTAGGGGGCAAAAAATTTCACAATAAATAATAATAATATCTTGTAAAAATTTGAACCATTTCATTTCATTTCATATTTTCGTCGCACCTACGATACGACCAATTGAAATGAGCATGGATAGTGTTACCATCTGGACAGTCCCAGTCCGGGAATCAACTCATCGTCCAGGTGGACTATTAATTTTACCAACCTTTTTTTTTTCTTTTGCTTGTATGATTCATTTGTATTCATATACACCGCCAAAATCCATCTAAGTCATCTAGGTTACTTATGTTACTCCTGACCAAATCTCCCTAGTCGCTAGCTGTAACTGATTTAGAACCGGCATGCATTGCACATTATTCTTCGCATTGCAAAATGACATATGCATGCGTCAGGAACTTCTGTTCGAACAAACCTCACCTGCCGTCTGGGTCAGCAATTTTAAAAAGGTGGCAACACTAGCACGGAATTTTTCATTATTTATTCTGTGACAAAACTGAATTTTAGTCTTTTAAACAGATACCTAAATAAGCGGACAGCGAAATTTTCCTTTGCTCTGGGCAGCTGACACCCACGCTACGCCACTATGTACTGAGGTCCCATTGCATTATTCACAGGGAAGCATTCACATCAAAATACCTGAGTCCTACATTAAACCAGGCCTTAGAATATGTAGTAAATATAGTAAACTTTATAAAAACTCAGCCATTGAAGGCAAGATTTTTCAAAAAACTATATGGGATCCGAGCACACATCTTTGTTATACTACAGCACTTCACTCGTGGTAATGCTTTTTCTCGTATGTTTGAACTGCAACAGGAAATTTATATTTTTCTTAACAAGGAAGACCACAAGTATGCTGAAAATTTGTGATTGAAGATTTCTTGGTAAAAATAGCATACTTATGTGATATTTTTGAAAAGCTGAATGCTCTGAATCTCTTTCTGCAGGGAAGCAACATGCACCTTTTAAAGTCGATTGAGAAAATTTCAGCTTTTATAAAAAAAATTTAAACTATAGAAAAGAAAAATAAATGAAGATGGAGGAAAGGATGTTTCCTCTTGTTGCAACAGTGTTTGACTTCCAATGGAGTTGATTTCTATTGAAGTATGAAATCTATTTTTGAAGAGCATTTATCACAGCTTATCACCTGATTTGAGAAATATTTTCAAAATGATAATATCGAAAAATTTGCATGGATTCAAGATCCATTTAATGCCAGTGCTCCATCTGAATTTACTGCTGCAGAAGAAGAGAATCTTATTGAGTTGTCTTGCAACAATACATTGAAAACAAAATTTAGCAACATGGAATTAACTGAACTTTTGATATAAGTAAAAGATGAATATCTCTTCTGAGTGGTACCACTCAGAAGGGATATTCGTCTTTCACTTATCCAAAGTTCATCCAGCTCAAAGAATCTTAATTTCATTTGCAACTTCTTATTTGTGCAAAGCTGAGTTTATTGCTGTGATAAAAACTAAGCATTGCACGAAAATCAATGTGGAGAAGGAAATGAAGGTTGCTGTGTCCAGTTTGATTCCAAGGTTTGAGAAAATGTGTGGTAATCAACAGTCTCATCCATCTCACTAATTCTAATTAAGTGAATTTGTTCAATTACATTTTTTTGTTACCTTAAATATGTGTTTTATTTACTTTTTACTTAATGTCCTAACTCTTTAATTAAAAAGATATTGGCTATTTCCCTATTTTGCAAATTGTACTTGTTAGAATTTGACATAGAGCACCTTAGGAAAATCTGAATTTAGCAAGGGCACCAAGAATCAAAAAGTTTGGGAACCACTGTACTAGATATTTCCTAGAAAAACGAAACTGAGCTCTGCAACATGTGTTTTTGTGTGAAGCCAAAACAGAAAAACTTAAATATGATGACATGTTTAAAGCAGTTTAAAACATGCATGTTCTGGGAGGATGTACATATCCAATGCCATAACCAACAAAAATGTCAAGAAACATTTAAAACACATGCAGTGAACAGCCTACCTACTCCTGCAAATGGTTAAAACATGTTCATGAATGGCCTCAAGCCGTTCATATTAAATGCCATTGTAAAAATCAAAATAAATTGACAGCAATTGGAAACTCAACTGACCTGTAGCACGTAACTAGCTTGCAATCAGCCCATAAACTTTACATGGCAAACTTTGACCTTGAATATCTCTGCCCATAGATTGAATTTCAAAATTCTGGCCTTGCCATGTTTTACATATTTGCAAAAAATCTTATTTAGTCGTTGTGCAGTTGCTTTAAACTTCAATCATGGACAAAACAGTTTCTGACTTTTTGCAGAGCCCTGCTCAAAAAACAGATAAACAAACTAATTTGTCAAATTTTTAACACACATTCAGAAAACCTACTTTATTATATAATGGATTTTCAGCTTTAATGGACATTCCCTTCACCCAAATCAGTCCATTAAATTGAGATTTTACTGTAATTAAATTCTTGTTATTATATAATCTATTCATTATGCTTCCTGTTATATTTGTTATATCCATTTTCATTTTCATCATGACAATTATAAAACCAATATATTGATTAACTCTGAAAAATGTTAAAGATGCCCTGCATCCCACAGTGTCAAATATTCAACCAAGATTAGATTTAACATTTTATGCAGAAATAAACATGCACATCCATCACATCAGCATGCAAATTTGCTTTTGTCCTAATAAATGGTAATGGTAAAATTATAAATATAAGGAAATGTTTAAGTTTTTTGATTTATTATCAGTTAATGTTTTATTTATATATTTATTTTATGTACAGTACATTATATATACGTGAGTCACACAAAATGTTCTTGGGCAAAAAGAGATCATGAATGGAAAAATTTAAAAAGCCTTGCAAACATCAATTCCTCTCTACCTGGCAAGTGAAAATGTGCCATACTATATCATCCAAGTATCACAATAAATATGTCAATAGTAAGATAAAATAACCAAACTCTTAATATGGTTTTCATTTTAATGTTTGTTGTTCCTACTTTTTGCCCAGGCAGCACCAGGAATATCTGCTAATATGGTAATAAAATTCTAATTATTTAATTAATTGAAAAATACAATACTAAATAAATTCTTGATGCATCCTAAGTTTTAATATATTTACTATAGATATGTAGGATGAATTTTTTGTTGATGAACAGAAATAGTTTGGTTTCTACATTTTATAAAAAATGTTTAATGAAACAAGAGAATTCATGGTAATAAACTCATTTCTAATGTAAAAAAAAATTAAAACTGATATGATGTATTATTGTGATTAGTGAAATTTTAAAATATTTTTTTGAAATCAATTTATATTTAATCTTTATATCACTTGATTTTATGATCATGTCATATTAAATTACTTTACCTCGTTTGGCCATTCTATAGATCATTTCTGCATCTTCAATAGTTATGCAGGCTGTAGGAATCTTAGTAACATTATTACTGTAATCTTGCCATCCAGTATGGGGTGAATAAATAGAAAAAGGTGCTATAGAACGAATGAGTGATGCCACACCACCAAATTTAGCTGCCCATTCAGCACCATAATCTCTATATTGTACTGATTTACTGTAGCTCACAAAATCTTGATTATATACAACAATTTTTCCTTTGACCTATAAAATATAAATATAATACTTTTAGAGATTATTATTTATAAAATATTTTCTTTTTTTAATTCAAAATAAAACTTTGAAATTTCAAAGTCCTATCACCATGTTTGTTTATCCATCTGATGTTTATTTTAGATTACTTTGTTTTTTTTTGTTGTTTAAATAACCAAAATTATTAATTCTACAATAAAATTTTTAGTTGGATTTACAATAACATTTATTTGTGTAATAGGATAAGTTTAAATCCAAAATATTTTTAAAAATTATTAAATAAATTGTTGATTCAAAGAAATTTCATCAATAATAACTTACAATGAATGAATTTAATGGCTTACTATTTATTTTAATTATGTATAAACCAAGACTGACATTAATATAACAAAAAATGATACAGTCAGAATTTAATTGGGCTGTAAAATAAATGTTAATTACAAAGATATTATATAATTTCGAGTAAAGGTATATGACTAAGTTGCCATCTTGTATTAAATTTAATAATTAAAATAAATAAAATTCATTTACAATATTCTGGAAAAAAATATCAATCCTGAGCAGGACTTCTGCTTACTGTAAAGATATATATGTTGCCAATTTCATTATCTGGACTCTGTGCAATCTTTGCTTACATAGACCAATTAATTTAGAAGATATGATCACATAGATCACTTGCTGGGCTGAATAGAGACAATTATATGCTTGCAACCCTTCACAGCATTCAGTTAACTTAAGTTTTTACCCTGGCATGGTTTGTATATAATTACATAGCGGGTAATCATAATTAAAGTACCCCTATCCAATGCTGTCTAGAGAGATATTTGACAGTCAAAATTCAACCAAATTTAGTATCTTGGCATTTCAGGACACGAAGACATTTCTGTAAATGTCTCAATAAATCAAATTATAATATTAAAGAAACGAGGTAATTCCATAGATACAAAATAAAATGAAAACTGATTTGGAGTTTATACAATAAAAAAAATACAAGTTATTTTCAGGCAAGCATCCATCTTCAGGATACGATAAAAAAGATAAAATTCAAAAACTAAATGTTAACCATGTTCAATTTAAAAATAATAATAAAGCCAATCATTAATGTATATAAAATATTCTAAAGAAATTTTCTAGATGTAAACTATTGTCAAGCCTCAGGTAGAAAAATGTCTCTCTTGGTTCACATTATAAATTCTATTAAAAATCCAGATAATCTCTACTGTCCTGGAAATTTTAATTATATCTAAATATTAAAGAGAATAGTTTAGTATATTTTCATAAATATTATCGTAAAAAAAAAATTCTAAATTACATCTAACCTGAGCAGCTTTGGATTTGAGTTCATCGAAACTTTTTACAGCTATAACTTCCGCAGTTATGCCATTTTCTCCCGTACCAATACTTCCACCTAAACCAAGTATTGCCATGTTTTTCCTCCTAGGTTGAAGAAGTTGAGCAGATTCTTCACCCCTGACCCAATGTGGAACTTGAACATTTTCGGTGCGAACATTTAAATTTAGTCCTCTTAAAGTTTTGATCATGTAATCAATTGCATTTTCCAAATTTTCAGAACCTGCAATCCTGTTGCCAAATTTATCTATAAATTTTGCTAAATGATCGTAAGTTTGCCCTTTAGCCGGTCCTGAAATTACATAATTAATTATTTTATCAACTATATTTTTATAATTGTCTATTTCTTTCTCGAGATTTGGAGATAATGTACACTTCAATGCAGAACAATCAATAAATACGACCAAAATAATGACAAAAAGACCAAAACTATACTTTCCCTTCATCTCGACAGTATCAAAACAAAATCACATGTTCAATCTTGTGATTGATAACATCGTCGCCACCTAATGGAATAAATTCTTGATGCATCCTAAGTTTTAATATATTTACTATAGATATGTAGGATGAATTTTTTGTTGATGAACAGAAATAGTTTGGTTTCTACATTTTATANAGGTGAAAATACTGTATATATTAGCAAATTGCTTTATTGGATTGTTATATCTAATTGTAGACCATTTAATTTTACCGTTTTTCAGCTCATGCATTAGTACAAATAATTTTAATGGAAACCCAACAAAATAATATTTTATACATTACTAGTATTCTTTGTAATATGGCCATTGTTGTTTAACTGCTTCAATACACCTGGTAACAGATTTCATAACATTTTTCATGAATATAATTTACATATACAGTAAAAAAGTTTACTGCACAAAGTATTATTCTTTGTAGGCCCCCAGTTTTCATATCTCACAGCAGCTATCCATTTTATAAGAACTTCCTTTTTACTTCTACTGTACTAGATAGGAATGTTCACTTATGTTCTATTTATAAGAACATAAGTGAGAACACGGGCTGGTACAAATTTTTTCATTAAAATTTTCCCAATTTAAAATTTATGCGTTTCATTTCGCTAAACTACAACGGCAAAGATGTCATGGATATCGTTCAGGAACTAATTGATCTTTGTCCCACGGACTGTACTTTCTTTATTAGTGACACAGCCTCCTAATGACTATTCATCGAAGGAAAATAGAGACAAAAATCATGGATTGGAGCAACCGACAACTTCACCAAAAATTGGCATTGAAATGCCAAGAAGACCCCCAAATAAAAGGGTAAAAGACAGATAACGACAAGCAGAGTTCGCCGATCAACTTCCTTTCGTGCAAGCGTGTTCTAGCCGTACTCCATTGCTGATCCCTTCGACCGCCCGCCGTTTACCGGACCTCGGACGCCTGTAACAATGAACATTCGATAACGAACCGTATTAGCAAGGAGTCCAACCGTAACCAATCCAGCGGAAATCTTTTTACTCTTTATCAAGACTTCAATCAAGCCGATTCGACCGACCCAAGTATTTATCCACACGCATTCGAATTTTGTAAACTCTTTCATAAATAATAGGCCATATGAAATACATCACATGTGCTACTGTATAAATAAGTAACAACTGGAGAACAGTCAGAACCGCGAATTGTAGAAAATGACTTACGTTAACCACTTATCACCATGAACGCATTAGACTTTTACCCTGCCAATTTCGGAACTTGGTTTCTTCCGAGTTAGAAACAGTAAATTTAATGGGCAGTCGATCCCACATATCTGGCTCCACCACCCTTATCACCTAGCTGTTCCCATTATGGATCTAGCTAAACCTGAGATGGAAAGATATAAAATGACCTTCTTAGTGCCGACAAAGCAGAAAGAGGTGAAAATAAAAAGGCTACATCAGGGGTGTCCAACATTTTTGTTTCTCTGGGCCGCATTGAAAGAAGTCAAGGAGTTTTGGGCCACAAGTATATATAATAGGCCTATATACTTGTGGTCCAATATACAAGTGTATTTAAAAACTAACATGTCTAGATTATAATAATAAGTATTAAAAGTTTATCAAGAAAAAAGGATATTTTAAAAAATTACTTCTACAGACACTTTCAATTTTTACTTAGAAATACATAAATTCATTTATTATAAAAGAGACAAACAAAAATTTATTTGAANGAAATCTTTTTACTCTTTATCAAGACTTCAATCAAGCCGATTCGACCGAACCAAGTATTTATCCACACGCATTCGAATTTTGTAAACTCTTTCTCTCCTACACGATTATAAACTAGACACTTTCATTTATGTTTCGCTCTTGTAAAGTCGCTACATTAAATAAATTGTTGTTAATTTTTGTTAAATGCGTAGTGGAGTGCTTATTTCCTAATCGCCCTTCTCTCTAACTTTCCCTCCTCCATCCTCTCACGTTCATCCCCATACGTAGCCGTTCGCGCGCGTTCCACAAACACACGGAAATTTAAAATCAAGGTTTCTGTGTTCGCCAGAAAACACAGTGGTGTCAGAAGCATAATAAGAAACGCTTCACGAATTTCACACATGCATACTGTGTATATATTTCTTAAAGAACAGTTTTCATTTATAACGTATAACATCATATATAGTTAAACCTGTCTTCCTCAAATCTCACGAGAACGAGAAAAAATTCGAAAGAGAAAGGTTTCGAAATGTAGAGTTTCCTACACAGTAAACAGTAACTGGTTCGGTTGGAGGTAAGGTATTGGTATTGTAGTAATACAATAGCAAGTACAGTACTGTACAGTACATATCTGTATTGGGTATAAATAAAATAATTTTGACATACCTTAACAGAAATAGTTTGTCAATAGTTTTTGATGCCTGACTTTCTTCGACCAATAACACTCAAGCCAAACTCGTATCAAGAGAAAAGCAACGTTAATTGCAAATAACATTTTTATTATTTATAATGTAGATTTCCCAAGTACAGTAGTCTATATGACATGTAAATTATTAAATATTTCAAATTTATGGAACGAATTTCTAAGCGATTTTTCTTCCATCTGTTGTACAATTAACTGATGTGCAAAACATAACTATCTTTTTATTGCGTTTTTGCTAATTAACCTGTTGTACAACTTTTATAGACTAAACATTAATCTTGCCGTGAACACCAAGTGAAACTAATTGCCTCACTGCTTAACGTCTTTTCTGTAAGCCTAACCGGCCTATAAAACCAGTTAGCAGTGATGCCAGTATACGAGGGCGGTTTCCTTTTAACTTCCGATGGTCCATAAAACAAAGACAAGTGTAAATAACAAAATAAATTTATTACCAAAAGTTAGGTGCAAACATGGTTACTTTTCGACATAATCACCGTGAAGATTGAGGCATTTGTCATATCTGTGGATGAGCTTTGCAATCCACTTTCATAGAATGTTTCCGCTAGAGACTTGAGATGGCCTTAACGTTGTTTTGAAGATCGTCATTAGTCTCGAATCTTTGCCCTCCTAGCCACGTTTTTAGGAAAGAGGTGAAAGTCGCTAGGCGCTAAATCGGGGCTATATGCCGGGTGTTTAAAAAGTTCCAAGCTGGGTGAAAGTCTGAATGGTGGAAGTTTTCACGCCTTTAATATGTGAAGACTTCCACCTCTTTCCTGAACTAAAAACGTGGCTAGGAGGGCAGAGATTCGAGACTAATGACGATCTTCAAAACAACGTTAAGGCNTATCTAAACCTAATAAATTTTTTCTCCCCTTTCTGTAGATGACATGATGGCACAGCTATTACATAGCTTTTATTCTCCTTTTAAATCATTGCTGTGATTTCTTTAGGCATACTTAATGACCACTATGAAAAATTAAGCCCTCCAATACCTGTTTACTGCTTTCCTTAAAAAAATTAATAAATGGATCTTTGGGTGTTTAAAAAGTTCCAAGCTGGGTGAAAGTCTGAATGGTGGAAGTTTTCACGCCTTTAATATGTGAAGACTTCCACCTCTTTCCTGAACTAAGAACGTGGCTAGGAGGGCAGAGATTCGAGATTAATGACGATCTTCAAAACAACGTTAAGGCCACCTCAAGTCACTGGTGGAAACATTCTACGAAGAGGGGGTTGCAAAGCTCGTCCACAGATATGACAAATGCCTCAATCTTCGCGGTGATTATGCCGAAAAGTAATCATGTTTGCACCTAACTTTTGGTAATAAATTCATTTTGTTATTTACACTTGTCTTTGTTTATGGACCATCGGAAATTGAAAAAAAAAAAAAAAAGCCTACGTAGATTTCGATGAAAATAATGCTCTAAAAAATATGGCTGCTTAATATAGAGCATTTCGTTAATTGTAACACTGTATAGTTCTTACTTGTTAATACATTACAGAATATTTTGTTTCGTTTACTATTTATATGCAGGATGAAAATCCAGATAGATAAAAAATAAAATTTAGGATAAAAATAATTTACTATTTTAAAAACATTCATTTATATTTATTATTTTATTTTATTCATTTATTTACTATTAAGATATTTATAATAAAGCTATAATAATTGTGAAGACAAGTCATTTTCTTTAAGTCATGGATATGATTTAAATCATTCATTCGAATTTGAATTTGATTCATTTTAGAGAAGCATCAACTGAAGATGCTTAAGTTGTATACGAGCAAAAATTTTAATTATTAAACATTAATTAATCATATTACATTTTAATTAAAATCAGGCATAAACGTTTCTTTAGTACGTTCTAAAATAAAATAAACAATTTAATATAAAAAAAATAAATAAAAGTTCATTAGATTATAATAAATTAAATTATACGATCTTTACGAATCGATTTTCCTCAATTTAAAATCTAATCAAATTTTGTATTTTACATCTTTACAATTTCTAATTTAAAATATTTAATGATAAAACTAAAATTTATTGCAATTTTCGTAAAGTTTAAAATTAATTTAATTTTAATGAAAGTAATTGAAGATTATACATTTTATTTTTAATTCGTTCTCTCCAATTCAAGATTCAAATCTCGATAAATCTTTATAAAATGAAATGAAAATAAATCATCATTAATGTAATTAGAATATAATACAAAAGAATTGATAAATAATGTTGCTTTCTTTATAATACAATAATTATATTTAAGATTTTATCAAGTACTTAGAGAAATAAATTTTATTAATTGAGTTTCTGATATCTGATTTAGAATCAATTCCATTTAAAGATAACTTTTAAATACTTCAGGTATTTGTAATAATTAGGTAATGTTTGATAGTTCTATTTCACAAAAGTTTGAATTATCTGATTAGATTTCAATTCATGAAGAAATTTAAATTAAAAGTATAATTGTCAAAAGTTGTGAAAATTTTCTTAAAAGATTTATATGAATAAAAATACAGTAATAAGGCAATGTAAAATTTTTTAATTGTAATATTTTAACAAAAATTAAAAATGTTATTAATAAAAACTAATTTTTAAAAAATTGCTATATTACTGAAATATCGGGTATTTTTATGATGGTTTAATTT